TTCATTCTTACGCCTCCTTTAAATACGAGTAAAACATAATCAAAAGTCATAATTAAATGTTTAATTCATAATAAATTCGAAAAAATTTTAAAAATTCGTAGAAAAATAATAAAAAAGTTAAGAAATTTTTTATAAAATAAAAAATCAATTTTTTTTTTAAAATTAATAAATAATAGTAAAACTCCATAACAAAAATATGGATGCCTCTCCCACCGCCTGTACTACCTCCATGCACCACCACCTCCGATCGGTGTAAAAAAACCATCTTTTTTTAAATTCCAAAAGAATGGCATATTACTATTTGATCCTTTTGACTTCTGCCAACACTTTCATTTTGCCAACTTGAATCCTTTTGACTTCTGCCAAAAATATGGCATTCATAATGAATTCGGCATTTTTTCTCTCGGTGACTGGAGGCGGTGGTACTACCTCCCTGCACTATCACCTCTGGCCATTTAAAAAAACCATATTTACTAAAAACTACCATTTTTTTCGGAAAATGCCAAAAAAATGACTGGAGGTGGTGGTGGTGCTGGGGCGGCAGAGGCGGCGGCAATTTTTTTTATTTTTTATTTTTTTATCATTTATTTTTCAATTTTTTTTAAATTTATTATTATTTAAAATATTTTTATTAATTTTTTTGGTATTTTTTACGAATTTTTATTATTTTTAATTATTTTATTATGTATTAAAACATTCCAATAGCTATAAGGGTATATTTGTCCAAGACACACATAATTAGTCCTATGGAAACATAGTTTGTATTTTGGTCCTATTTGTGCAAAGTGTGTGACTTTTAGAGCATCTTCAATGCTATAATGTCCACGGTGCACATGTGGCATGTGTGATAGCCACAAAATTATTAGCAAATAAATTATTTCTTTCCTTATTTGAATGATTTTATACAATTTTGGTAAGTTTTTCCCTGCAATGTCAACAACAATGTCAACATTAGACGGTCTCCTTGACATTGTGGAGAAAAACTTACCAAAACTGTATAAAATCATTCAAATAAGGAGAGAAATAATTTATTTACTAATATTTATGTGGTCATCTCTCATGCCACGTGTGCACCGTGCACATTGTACCATTGAAGATGCTCTTAGTCCTATTTTGATAATTAACTCATTAATTTTTCTTCCTCTAAAGATTCTTTGATTCTTTCGTATGTGGTAATGTGGACACGCCACATACTTTCACACGTATGAGTGGTTCAAAAAACTCAAATGCAACAAAGTCCACGTTTAATTTCGTTCAATTGTGTGACATTTTAAATTTAACCCCAAGATATGAATTTGAGAATTTTTACCAATAAATTAAACTGAGATCACAATCAAAATACCCGCACGGGTATTTTTCGATCTTTACACAAAACTACAAACGGTATAGTACTATAGTAGTCTCAGCTTTTAGCAAGTTGGTGAATATTAGCGGTTAAGTCCCATTAATAAAAAGGATGATATGGAATCGATTCAAATTGGATAAGTAATAGTCAGAAAAGCAGTAGGATAAATCCGTCTAAGAAAGATTCAGCAATTCCATGTCTCCATCGCACAAATTCGATCGATCTTCCTTTAGGCAAATTATTTTGTTTTGACAAATTGCAATAAATTAGTGAACACGTGAAAAGTCCACATATTTTGGATAAAGATGGTTATCCGACAAGATTTACGAAAGCTCTCGTACCACAAATTACCAAGGAACATGAGACTAAACCAAATCGATCGAATGTATTTAAGGAGCTGTTCTCGATTTTAAAATTTAAAGATTTTTTTTGAATTTCTAAAGCAACTCAGATTTAAACCAAATCCTCTGAATGATTTGTTTGGTTTCTTGCACAGGGACGGAGGGTAGATTTGGTCCTATTCTACCCGACCTGTTCAATTATGGTTTATCAGTTTAGCATACATCGTTAAAAGCTTATTATTTGAAATAAAGATTGTATTTTTTGAATGATTATATATATCCCAAAGTGTTTTTCCAAATGCTCAAATCATATACGGAGTACTACGTAGTACGTTTTTATATTTTAGTTTCTCTAAAATTCTTAAACTTAACTATCCTAAAGTATTTTTTGGGTTTAATGCACCAACCCCCATGTGATTTGGAAATTCGACGCATTAGCACCATGTGATTTAAAAAATGCGTCAAACCCCCTTGTGTTTTAATTATTTATGCACAAAACCCCCTTTATGAATAAATTTAACGATTTAAAATTCACTTTTCCTAATATTTTGATTGAATATGCAAATATATATGTCAAAATCTCTGAATCATACAAAAATGTTAATCATTTTTCTTTTATTTGACAATTGAATTTGTTCACATAAGGGATTTGGCGCATGATTAATTAAAACACATGGAGGTTTGACGCATTTTTTAAATCACAGGGGGCTAATGCGCCGAATTTTTAAATCACAGGGGGTTTGGTGCATTAAACCCGTATTTTTTTCAAATGTCAAAATCTTCCTCAAAGGACTGCATGTCATTTGGTCCCCCTACCCCTACCCCCATTTAGGGGTGGGTTCGGTTCTTTCGGTTCGGTTTTGACCTAAAACCAAATACGGAACCAAAGTAAAAGTTCGGTTCGGTTTCGGTTCGGTTTTACACTCCAAAACTTGGAACCACGGTTTGATCGGTTCGGTTTATTTCGGTTCGGTTTCGGTTTTTTCGGTTTTTTACTAAAAAAATTGTCATGTAATTTAAAATTGATATAAAAGTTAGAGGGATCAAACATATTACATAAAAATGCAAGCATACTTGAACAAATAAAGAAAATAATAATAAACAAATATGTCTTGAATTATATGAGTATGCGGGAGAGATAAAAGTGTATATATATTCTTAATTTACATTATTTGTGACTAGTTTGAAAAACATTTATGAATACATACGTCCTATGTGATATAGTTGAAATGAATATTTATTTGTTTTATCAATTTAAAAAATGTAAATTACAAAAAAAATTAGGTTACATAAAAATAAAAGTTAATTACTACTAATAACAAGTAAAAACATATAATCATGCAATAAATGTCAACGAACATACATCCATAGAAGACATAATAGATCAATATAGCTACATTATTATAGGCAATGGATGTGTAAATGCATTTGTGAACTAAACTAAACTAAACATAGCACAAACATTATTTCTCTAGCACAAGAAATTCAAAGAATATTGATGATATCAAGATTAATGCTTACATTTAACAAATAAAATTTCATATTTTATTTTAGTTCGGTTTGTTCGGTTCGGTTCGGTTTTGAAGGGTAAAAACCAAAACCGAACCAAACTACTACGGTTCGGTTCGGTTTTTTACATTCGGTTTCGGTTTTTTAGCGGTTCGGTTTATTTGGTCACGGTTCGGTTTAATTTGATTCGGTTTTCGGTTTTCGGTTTTTTGGACCCAGCCCTACCCCCATTTAATCTAAATGTCATCCACCCATCAGATTATCAATTTGTTTTTCCTATCATGCACAAATACTTCCTCTTCTTTTTAGTTGCAACAGTGAACCTTTACACATTAGCCAACGCACACATTTGACCGTAAATATGTCTTAATCTCTATTAATAAAAAATATTAAAAATCAGATTTTGAAAATTTGTAATGAGATGAATTGAAAAATATTTTTTTTAAAAATAATTTCCATAAGATAATAGTGTAAAATGTAGTCAAAGCAGATCATGTGAACAGTGCAAAAAGTTAACAAGTTGGAAATCTGAACTAGACTTTACTCTAATAAAGAGTAACTAGATTACTTTCCTTATCTAGAATTAATTCGTATGATCAGTTTACCTTGCCTTGTGTAAGAATTAAATTTCGATGCTCCAATTTATGGAACGGAGGTTGAAAAACATGCTTCACAACTATATTTGAAGAGTTTCTCCTAGGACAGCCGCCTCTAGGCTTTTTTTTTTTCCGAATTCGATCATGTTGATCGAAGTTCGGCTGTTCTTGTTCGCATATCTGGCCGCGGAGCAGTGGTCTGCTTTTGGCTAAGGTGGAGCGATCACGAGTTTTTCTCTCTTGGGCTTTGACTATGTCAGCCGCTGGAGCCTTTTTCCGATTTCGACTTTGTCGAAGATCGGCTTTGTTATCCCTTGGTCGCTGGTGCTCGACTGGAGTCCAGGTCAGACGCGGAGGGCGGAGATCGGTGGAGGAGGGCAGATTTGCTGTCATGGCTCGAGGAGATCGGCACTGTGGTCAAGGTTCGAGGATGTGGCGTTGTTGTCGTCGTTGGAGAAGATCGGCGCCACATATCCGCTTACTCTGGTCGCACGGAGCAGGAATGAGTTTGGTTATGCAGGGACGGAGGATTGATGCATGGTCTTTGGCAGCCAAAGGTCATGGAGGATCAATTAGCATGGTACCAGTGGTACAACCTCCTCCTGAACCACCACCATGGGATGCACGAGGTGCTAGAGTTCGTGAACGTTTTTCTTGTAGTTTTTATCTGTTTGTTATTTGTTTTCTTGCGTCCATTTTTGTTGTTGGGTTTAACAGTTTGTTTGAGTTTTCCGCCTCTCTTTATGTCATTGGGTATGGTTAGATCTATGGGAATAGTTTTGGCTGTGTCAAGCCCACTACATGGTTAGCGATTCGTGTTTCTCTCTCAGGGGTGACCGTCTCAAAGTCTCACCATAGGGTTACAGTCGTAGTTGTTGGAGTTTCAGTTGGTGTCTGTTTTATTTTCCCTTTGCTTGATGTAATGATCCTCAATCTTTTGATATGAATAGAGGCATGTTTTGATGATAAAAAAAACTGTATTGGAGGAACATACATAAGCAATTTGTATTAATGTTTGTTTAACTTCACGGATATAAACATCATTAATGTCTATTATTAATAATGGGTTTAATGCACAAGTACATAAACAGAACTGAGCATTTTATTAGAAATATATCCACTACTGAGATAGGTGAAGAATGTAAGCTTTGTGTGACAATGAAATAAGTTGATAGTACAATTATTAGTGGGTCTCATGAAACTTTATAAATTAAATGAAACAATCATATATGTTGATGGTGTAAAACAAAGTTTCACAAATTTTGAAAAACTGCTTTATAGACCACATTTTTAGTGTTGATAGTGCAGCCCTCGTCATCACATATAAGAATCTTCAACTCACTCCTTGATAGTGCAGCCCTTGTTAAACATGACAACGTACAATTGACCGTGCGCAAACACGAATTTTGAAAGATATATGCCCACTTGATTTAGAGATTGTCCTTGACTTTTGTTTTCGTTATGGCAAATGAAACGATGATTGGGAGTTGCCTGCGCTGAAATTTGAAATGAATCCTGTTATCCAACAGGAACAATGATAGTCATGGAATAAAAAACTTTTGACCAATACTTTTTTACCAAATATAACATTCGCCTTTAAAACAAATTTGTCTAACCGAGTAATGATTGCCATGTCAATGTTTCTCATTAATTTATAGTTCGGTATTCCTAATGCATTGATGGTGTTCTAAACTCTTGAGTATGCGATTCGTCAGATTCAGCGCCAATGTTGCCTTCGAGTGAGCATTGACTGTCAAAACTCAATATGTCTTCATTTCTCCAGGCATCAATGAAATCATATAAATATTGATAAACTTTACAACATCATTTGTGGGTGTCAAAATAGCTCTTTGCTAAAAATATGTTGGATCGACCATATTCTCCTTAAATAATGGATAAATGCTTGCAACAATTGAAACAATAGGATCACCTGAAGTAGTAATAAGCATATCATCAGGTATATCAATGAACACCTCTCCATCTCTGACATTGTGATTATTTCCATCTATCCCCTATTTTGAGCACTAAATATGAGAAATTTTCAACTTGTCAACATTACAATGTGAAGAACCACATTGTACTCTCCTATTTTTTTGTTAAAGTTAGAACGTTACAATATCTCGAAATATATGAGGCATTAATAGTAGAACGATTAACCTTTTTCCTTTATGTCTTCAGTACGATGAGGAATATTTGTATGAAATCACCACAAAAAACAACAACTTTTCTTCCAAATGGAAGCTTCTAGCTATCAGTATTGTGAAATCTGAGCAAAACCTTTAATGTTGTCAACAACTTCAAAGCAATGTTTGTGTGTCATCGGAGCTTCATCTCATATGATAAGCTTCGCTTAATTATTAGCTCAGCTAGATGACTTCCATGTTTTATATTTCAAGTGAAGTCTTCATTGACATTAATAAAGATGGCAAATTGGGAGTGAGCTGTTCACCCATCAAGAATAAGCAATGATGCCATTGCACTGCTGGATGCCACTACCGACACAATTTCACCTTTGGATCATATGCATGCAAATATCGCCCTCCATATGTAAGTTTTACTTATTCCGCCATATCCATACAAGAAAAAACACATCGTCACAATCTTCAGTAACACATTGCATGATGGTATCATATATATATTCTTTTATTCAGAAGTTGTGGTCGATAGTAGATGCAAGTGTTCAACAACTAAAGACGGTTTATCATAGTTCAAATCATAATGGAGAAGTCTATTTTGTTGTTCAGAAATCAATGACCTATCAGGACGAGGCATGGATGGGAACTCCATCAAAGTTTTTCCATTTTTGCGCAATAACATATCTATCTCGACAAAAGTAAGACTCTTTAATTCATCATCCAATGGAATCAGATTTGTCAAAAAAGATATAAACAATTCTCTCACATTTGCATAAATGATTTTATTATTAATATTAGAAAGTGCAACTATTGCATGTGTTGCATGTGGCTGTAACAATTATTATTATAACAATAAGAAGAAAAAATAGTAATATACTTACTATGAAACTGTAGAAGAAATCGCTGCATATGCTGAATATCATTGCTTAGATATTTCCAAGTTTTTTCCCAAATCACGTGTGGCGTACACATTTGGTCAGACAACATTAATATAGAAAAAAGAAGCCTCATATTCTCCCTAGTTCCCTAAAAACTTGACTCAATGATGGCATCAATGTATTATTTGTCATCACCTAGTAATCCAAATGCATTGCACGCGTCTTTGAATGTGGGATACACAATGCTGTCAATTGTTCGTATTTCAACAAATGATCTTGGTCCCATATCATGGTTCAATAACGTACGCAAGTAGTATAACTCACTTGTTGCTAGAGGCATGAAATGCAACCTCCCAACTATGTTCCCCCTTTGTCTATAAAGTCATTCATGTCCAATCTGCTTCAAGACAAACTTCGAAAGGAACTGAGCGTAGATTAGGTCTCTTGCTGCAGGTACATCATCATAAAAGCCTGCGGTGACGCGATCATGACCCTTATCTAAAATCTTATAATAGTGAATGAGGGTAAGGGTACTTTGGGTATAAAAAATATGTTGGTGTAATTATAAGCTAATCTGTTAACATGTACTTTGAGCTTAGAATATCGTGCCTAAGTCTTTCGATTATCTTTAATACCAGACAAACCTCCTCTCCGTTAGTTAACGTAGGTAAAACTTAAAACCTTCTGTTCTGCCACTAAGAGTTTAGCGTTGGAATGCAACAATGTGACAAACCACTATCCTGAAGCGCCATTTTTTTCCCTTCCTCTTGCATAGTAACATGGGAAGTGTAATCATTCTTAAGATTTTTTTCCTCAACAAATAAATATGTAGTACTACAATTAGTTACTGTGTAACAAACTTTTGGAGTATTAATATCTATTTTCCTTTCATTCTCAAGCAAGAAATAAAAAAAGTATAACAACCAATACTATGTTATCGATAAATTTAGAGCAGTATGATAATACTAAAATTGACTAAATCAACTAAATATGCAGGAATGGATGAAATGTTGACTCAAGTGGCTGAATTGATTGAATGTATGAAATTATTAGAAAATTACATTTAAATTATATTTTGGTAATCATAAAAAATCATATAAAATAACTAAAATGGTTATCTATGAACAATAACTTCATTCACAGTTAAAGTAACCCCAACCTTACTTACTTTGATTATTATTGCCCAATTCAGCGTACAAAATCAAAAGTTACGTATTTGGTAACAAAGTTGACTGATAAGGTTGATAAATTGAAAATATAAACAAAAGGCTGAAAAAAACACTTTCTGAATCTTTTGTAAACACTCTCTAACTTCGTCTTATGTACTCTGTTGAGTGGAATTCATTCGACTTCTCATGATTAGCTAAACAATTATTAACTGTTTCAATTTACTCATAATATTAATTAGACTATTTAGTTCTTCACAATTGATTCTATCAATTTTTTTTGTATTTTCTGTTACTTTCGTTCTTCATTTTTTACCAATAGATTTCAGTTCAAAATGGGGAATTTGAAGGGGGTTGCTTTTTTAAAACAAAATTGATTTGTGCACATGTGTCACGATCTTACCATGATTTGTAGAGGTGTTCAGTATCTGAATGTTTAATCTTAAATCAAACATGCCTTCATGATATCCTGGAGCAGAAAACATCAAATGCTAATTGATCCAAACTTGGTTGTTGTGTATAATTTTGTTTGTGTTCAGAATCCATTCGTTAACTGATTTATGGATCAAATATAGTATAGCTTCTCATGGCGACACTTGTGTCAAGTTTCTTGGCTCTGAAATAATTTAAATGTATTTTTTTAAATTGTATGGGTGTGAGACTTCAATACCCCTATTCACAACCTGGCACTTTGTCCAGATTGTTCCATCAATGAATTTTTCATTGGTTCGTCATTGTCATTTTCTTTATAATTGCATCATCGTTTTTCATAAGAGGCCCACACCTTTGTTATGCATCGATTTCACTCTGATATCATGTTAAGACGTGATGTTTCATCCTAATAGATCAAGCTGATAGGAGCCACAGTCCAAAATCTTAATATATCATTTTATTACTTCATATTTTACCCGTGTGAGATTTCAATAAATTTTCTTTGTCAAATTATATACTGTACATAGATTGAATACAACTTCACTTCAATTGGATAGACTCAAAGTCAATCCGACTTAATAAATTTCTTTAGTTCTTTCTCTCATGGATTGGACAAACTAGACTCATCCACCTTTTATATTGTTGCCTGTGAATCCCTAAACGAGGTCTTTAAAAAAATATTATTTCTTTGCTTGCACTCTTGTGCTTAAGCTATAAATAATGTATTTGAATGTTACTAATTCTTTATTTTATGTTGTGGTGGAAAATTCGCCAATAATTGAAACTGTTTATTGATAGAAATGTGATAGATATAATAACTTTTGTTTGGTTCATGAGAAGGATATGAGTTCATAGTATTTTGATGAGTTAGTTTTATATTGCATACCAGAAGTGTCAAGACTGGCTGTACTACAGAATAGCACAATGCATATTCAAAAAACAGCTACAAATGTTTACTACTTAATAGATTATTGATCTTCTTGATCAATCCCACATCCAAATATTAATGGTGATGTGAGAAGTTGGTTGAATAGAAGTAAACATATCAAATACTACACTTAATACTTAATATACCATTAATGATTGTGGATATTAGTCAATCTTATATTTTTCTTATATTTATGTACCTTTCGTTTCATCTCTTACATCATCATGTGAAAGTATCATATTAGATGCAATGTCAATCATCAATATAAAGGTATGTATTAGATATTTCTTATGATTTTTCGGATAAAGGGTAATTATATATATCATCCAAAATAGTTTATGTACATGTAAAGCAAAAAAGGGGGAACAAAAATGGGCTATCCCGACATGGGATAAACCATCACCTGGAAAGCTATACAATCATGCCCAAAACACAAAGAGAGGTGGTAGGCCACCTCACGACATCACGCATCAAAAAGTAATAAGTTCATGGGGGTAAATACTATAAAGGATCTTATACACCATGTATTTGATCCTAGCAAAACATCCTCCTCGTGAGCTTTGGCATTATCAAATATGGTAGCATTCTGCACTCTCCATATCCAATATACAGTATAGATGAAGGTGATACAAACTATTTTGGCCTTGATCCCCGCGCCTCCATGGTCCTTTTTGATTCACTTCACCGAGCTATCCAATGTAGACATCTGTCTAGGCATTCCAATCCATGCCCTGACTTTGCTTCAAACTGCACTTATGAATTGACAACCAAAGAATATGTGTGGTACCGTCTTCAGTTCACCCTTGCAAAGTAGACATATGTTAATCAAGTCAAGCCTACTAAGATTATCATACGTTGCCAAGCGGTTGCGGAATGCAAGCCAAGCAATGAATGAAAACTTAGGTGGTATGTAGGTTTTCCAGATAAATGGCATCCAAACCTGCTTGGTACCAGTTATTCTAATCAAGTCATACACTTTAGAAGATCACAATTTGACATTGATAGCAAGAGCGGTAAGCCCTTCAATTGTGCTCGCAATAGAATCAAATTTGGAGACCAGGAGGTCTCAGATCAACCCAAACTTTTTCATAAGTTGGGAGTCCCTGATGTGTGGGGAGAATTCCCACACACTTCTACCCTTAAGATAGACGTCATGTACCCATTTCACCCAAAGAGTATCCCTCATTAAATGAATATCCCACAAGGTCTTAGAAAGTAAAGCGCTATTCCAATTTTTGGTATGTCTTATACCGAAGCCACTTTCCCCCTTTGAGAGACACATATCTGGCCAAGCAACTCTGGCAAATTTGCATCCCCAAAAGAAAATACGACAAAGTGAGACCACTCTGTCAAGGATGACTTGAGGTATAGGGAACACCTGTAACAAAAAAGAATGCACACCCTGGATAATAGATTCAATCAATTCAGTTTTACCAGCATATGACAAGGTTTTAATATTCCAAGAGTTAAGATAAATTTGAGACTTTTTTCCAAAAGGGGGGCATATTCGGTCACACATAACTTAACATGGGAAAGGGGGATCCCAAGGTATTTGACGGGGAAGGCTCCAACCTTGAAGTCAACCAGGTCAAGTATAGCTGTGAGATCATTGTCCTTAACCCCACCCAAAAAAATGTTTGAATTGTCCAAATTGACCCTGAAACCCGAGACATTTCCAAATTCATTAAGTGCACCAGTCAAAAATTTAATGGAGTATGTGTCCCCTCTACAAAATAATATAAGATCATCCGCATAGGCAAGGTGCGATATCTTTAAACTACCGCACTTATAATGGTAGTTAAAGTAAGAGGACATACAAAAGTGGGGACATAGGATCACCTTGTCTTAGTCCCCTCTTCCCACGGAAGTATCCATGTAAGGTCCCATTAAGAGAGATTGAAAATGAAGCAGTAGAAACACATTCCATTATCCAGTTAACAAATTGCAAAGGAAATCCAATGTTAAGGAAGACACAATTAAGAAAGTCCCAAGAGATGGTGTCATAGGCTTTCCTAAGGTCCACCTTAATCATACACATAGGGGAGCAATGCTTTCTAGTGTAACCCTTAACAAGTTCTTGTGCCAAGAAGATGTTATCCATCATGAGTCTACCATTAACAAAAGCCCCTTGGGCATGATCAATAAAACCAGGTAGACATGGAATCATTTTGTTAGCAATGATCTTTGTGATAACTTTATAAATAACATTCGTACATGCAATAGGTCTGAAGTCAGAAGTCGTGGGAGAGTGTGAAGTCAGAAGTACATGTTTATAAACAATTTTGTTCGCAGACAATATCCTTCACACAGACAAATTTTGTAGAAAAGTGTCTGTATTTGTACTATGTTTGTTCATGTAAGGGGTAAATAAATATGGTGTAACGTGGGGTATAGACCAAGCATTAGGATGTTGTTACTTGGACTGTTTTCAGTTCCACACTAGACCAGACCAGACTCTACCAGACTAGACCAGACTTGGATAATTTTAAAAAATATAGATCAGACATTAACCGACCAAACCAGACAAGTTTAGACTAGATCACACCAAACAGATAGAAATTTCATTCCAAGTAAAAACATGAGATACTATTGTCTTGGGATAATTAGATTATGTTAATATGAACCGAATCAATCAACTGTGCATTGGGGAGCATAATACCCCTTCTAGTCCCTTGTCACACACAGTCTTGCCTCTCTGCATCTCACTATGGGGATATATATACCGAGTCAATGACATTCCATTCTATTTGTACGCAGAAAACTAGCGTATTTCTACCACCGTATTTCCTTGTGTTTATCTTCTTCCCTAGGAAAACATTTCCCCCTCTCGGAGTACGAGAGAAAGAATATGATTTGAAGACTGAGAGGGGGTAACGGAGCTACTCCATGGACTATGCCTCACCCTGCCTGAGGCTGCTTATTCCAGATCATACAGAAAGCGCTAAACTGTAGTGTGTGGATATATGGAGATCAGAGAATACATCTGTGATTTTGTCCAACTCTAATTCCAATCAAGTGCTATTCTTGAATACTTGGTAAGCTTTGTTGTTGTTGTTGTTGTGTGTGTGTGTCTGATGTCTGCTTGAATATGTTATCAGCTGTTAGGAGGTGCTGCTTGGTTTGTGTTTATGAGACGGTGATGGGTTTTTTGCTCAAGATCTATGTTAAGTAGAGAAATTATGGTGTATTTGGTATTGTGATTATTATCTGATCTGAAATTTGAGAGATCTGGTCAGGCGTAGAATCATTAATAACGAATTATGGAGTACTATTCCATATCCTTTTTCAGTTTGTTTAGGTGTCTGAATATGTGATTCTAATTTAGAGTCATCTTTGATTTCTTAGTTTGTATAATCCATATCATTACTGTTCCCTATTGATCTTGGTTGGTATTCCATCTGTTTGGATTAATGAGATGAATTTGTGTGTATCTATGTTGGTCTTCCCCTCTTTTGTTTTTTCTCATCTCCTTTGTTCCTCTGCTCTATACAGTTCTATGCAATTTTCTGACAACCGTATGACCAAATATTTGATGTATTTAAATTTTAGTTTGGCCTGCTGTCTTTTTAAGGTAAGTGGTGTTGGGCTAATAGGGATGAATTTACTAAATTTTCCAAAAAGAAATGTTTTTTGTACAATCCATTTCAGTCATATAACTATATATAAGTAAGTCAAAGTACTTATTTTTTACTAGACCATTCCTTAAACCAAGGACTTTTTGAAGAAACAGCGTGAGTTTCATGCTCCCATGAAAGTATGAAGATCCATTTTCTGGATGACTTTATGGCATAGCCGCATAATTGTTATGGCATATGGCGACAGTCATGACGTCAAGGCATTTGTCCATAGCGATGGTGGTGGCACATTTATTGTGTCGCCACATGACACAAAAAATAAATACTAAACATTTAACTATAGACACAGTAAATAATAAATCTACTTTTCAACCATCAAAAGATGTGAAAGAAAATTGATTATCCATATTCTAACTAAACCATGTAAAGTTAAAATAGTATAAAGTATTTACAAAAAGTAACTGAATATCCAAAAAAGTTTCATGTCTTCCCAAATCATCATCATCATCATTACCTCAGTGCCGTAGAGACTTCCACCTACGGTGGGGTAAGAGGGGGTCGGATGTACGCAACTCTTACCCCTGCACTAAAGCACACAGATTATTTCAAGATGACCCATAGTGAAAATCGCGTAAAAAATTGCATGGACCGACAACTTCCAAAGTATGTCAACTTATTTGTGTTTGATGATTATAATATAATCATCATCAAATATCATCACACTCATCATTATCATCATCATCTGAATCTGATAACATTGGAACGTCGTCGTCATTCTTTTCACTCTGATGGATCTTTAATCTCATTGTCTCATCTTCATCTTGCAGCTGATGTGTTATCGTTGACTTTTAGTCGTTCCCCACTTGCGCAGATTTCTTTCCGTCGTTATGTACTTACGTTAGTTGAGCAGTTTTTCTTGTTTTACGTTAGCTGGTGTCTTTATTTGCTTCTTATTAGGGATTTTATTAATATTATGGGTTGACTGGTTAGTTAATTAGTTATCAGGGCCAAATCCCAAAAGTAACTATGTAAATGTGTTAAAATCTGTTTGGGAATATGGCGCACATGGCTTGGCAATGGCGATTCCGCCAATATGGTGCTGCCATGTGTAGACTCATCGCATGAGAACCTTTTGGGGCAAGGAAGCTATGTATCGCCATATGGCGTGCACCATATTGTGCCATTGACAACTACTCCCTCTGTCCCGAAAAGGCCAAAGTTGACTTTCACGTGGATTAATAAAGTAAAAATTGTGTGGTTGAAATTTGTGCAAAGGATAGAGAATTAACTTTAGCCACATATTCCTTACTTTAAATGGAAATGGCAAATCTTTTTGGGACATCCAAAAAATGAAATCTGGCCAACCTTTTCGGGACGGATTTAATGCACCAAACCCCCCTGTGATATGGAAATTCGGAGCATTAGTACCCTGTGATTTGAAAAATGCATGAAACCCCTCTTATGAATAAATTCAATTGTCAAATGAAAGAAAAATGATTAACATTTTTATATGATTTAGAGATTTTCACATATTTACTTGCATATTCAATCAAAATATTAGGAAAAGTGATTTCCAAATTGTTAAATTTATTCATAAAAGGGGCTCTGTGCATGATTAATTAAAACACAGGGGGGTTTGACACATTTTTCAAATCACAGGGGGTTAATGCGCTGAATTTCTATATCACGAGGGCGTTTGGTGCATTAAACCCTTTTCGGGACGGAGGGAGTATGATTTATGATTTTATGGGAAACGGAGGGGTGGAATCCGACTTCCATTTTTATTTGTTTCTCTCTCTAATGTCAGATTCTCGAAATTCAAACTCAATTTAATGGTTTCACACTTTTAGTCCACCCCAAGTTAAAAGGCCCACATTAAAAATAATCATACCCTGTTATTTCATTTGGTAAGGCAAAAAAAGTTCTTACTATGTTGGGAATCTACTTTCTTTTGGACATATAGAATTATAGAAATGCAGACCATATGAGCCGTATGCCCTCCACACATTATGCATATCGGAAAGTTAAAATATTCAAGTCAGATTAGCTGAATCTGGTATGTTTAAAACATCATAATGTTGGATTTATTATAATGTTCGATTTGCTAAATCTGACTATTCTAACAGCACTTGGAAGGTCAGATTGGGAAAGTCTGTTTCCCCTTATTCAGGAAGCCTTCCAAAACTCCTGTATTTTTGCCTTGTGCCCTTGGCTTAAAAGTCCTGCTTATAGGGAAATTACCCTAAACCAAGAGCATATTATGTGAAATGTTTTCCTGGAAGCCCAACGCCATAAAGGTCAGGCTTAAAAGCTTCCATCAACACTTGAAGTAAAACTGTAAAAGTAGTTAAAACATTTTTTATGAGCAAAATATGCCAAGACAATTAGCTGAATAATTTCCTTCTAAAAGGATATGGCAGAACTGAACTTGAATATATGCTTCCATCTACTTAACATGAATAGTATCATGAGCTATATATCATGGGTAGCGGTATTTCAGTATTTGGAAGCAATAGAAATCAATATTCTTGCTAGAGTCGCACTCCATGGCATCGTTCTTATATCTCAATTATCCCAACAGCAATGATATCATGCACTTAATTTCAGCTCTAAAACAGATTCAATGCTATAAGTGTTATATAAAAGAGCAATAAATTTTTCATTTCCATCGTCTAATGAAGCCTCTGTTAACAGTGATCCCATAAAGCCCCCTGGCATCATCAGTATTTGTGTTGATCCAGGAGTTTCAGGTTTTCCCCAAGGATTTTTCCAGATTTTATGATTTTTGATCATAGGAGATCGAAGCTTGTCTCCGCGGTAAATCCCAGACATGTTCTGGGGCTTAGCTTTATTCTGAGCCCCTCCATAAATTCCAAAGAATCAACAGTTTCAAAACAGCTTTATTAAATCTTGTTCAGTTGTTCTATTTTCACCATAAAAAACTCTTCTTCTATTTTCAGCGATCTAGAATATCAATGTTTGTCTAAATGATGAACATTCAGTCTGTCAGGAAATGAAACATTATAAAATTTACAGGAATGTTGCCAGATTCCACTTGCTGGTAAAATGAAACTGAAATATGATCCAAGAATTCACAACTGTTACACCATGTATTTTTTGAAGAAATAGTGATGGGGAATCCGGATTGCAACATCTCATCAGTGGTAACCCATTTATTAAATTCTTCAAACAAGGAATTACATTTTTGGGGGAATATTCGATTTCCAAACATAAGCATTACAAGGTTGAGCATTTCTCTTATCTCTGATCTCTTTCAGATCATACATTTTTGGGAAATCGATCCGTGAGGGCGAGATTCCAGTTAGGTTTATGTAATTCAGTAGCAATGGAAGGGATGAGTAATTCTTTGAATTTCAGCTTCTATTCCGATTCTTGTATTTATCTTAGTACAGCCGACGTTTGCAATATTACTTGTCCAGTACAATAGCGCATGCTCTATTTTTCTCAATTCCCATCTCATTTTTTAGTCATAAGAAATATTCACGTCTTCTACGTTTTTAAAACCATTTCCCCCTTAAAACCTAGGGAAAGTGGGAAACACATGCTATCTATAGATGTCTAATGTGTGGTTTTATGATTTATAGTGTCACCCCATAAGATGACATTCTATCAGTGTTAGTTGGAAACCAAGGGAAATGAATCTGAATCTCACCCTAATAATTACTTAACAGGTTTATAAATCAAATTATCACACATAATCTTTCTCCAAAGATTTTGGAGATCTCTTAGTTCCATTAGCCAAGATAACAGTTCCATCTGCAAAGGCAATATGAGCGACAGGTATGGAACCCTCTGTAACTGTTACTCATAGCCGATGTTTTCAAAAAATATAAGAGTACCTCAGGAGTGCTTTAGACAAGGTGATTACTAAATGAAAAGTATATGGCACCTACCTCAAACCCTTGGAAGCCATAAAAATAAAAAAATCTTCCGGTTTGCCATTAATCTGTACAGAAAATTGGCAGTTGTGGATACATCTAGCAACTTCAGAAACTGAGGCATTTAAGGCAAATCCTCTTATCACTTCATAGAGCACCCTCCACTCAACTCTATCAGACACTTTTTACAAATCAAGTTTCACTTTCACTATAACATTTCCCCCTCTAGTGGCCTCCCTATTTAATGAGTTATATCTAAGGCAAGTAAAATATTTTCAAAAGAGGATATTCAAGGTGTAATTACACTTTGATCCAGGGATACCTGCCTATCGAGGATTTTATTCTTTCTAACAAAATATGTTCTAGTAATGATTTGATTTTGTTTATCACATTACATGACTACATTAGGACTGAAATTGGGGTGGTAGCAGTGATTCCTCTAGGTAGACCAGCTCCATTAAAGAATATATTGAAAGTTTCCTATAAATCATCGTGGATTATGTGCCAACATTCATGGAAAAGAGGCGCTGGAAATAGTTTGTAGCAGACTAGCAGATTTCATTTGACTATCTTCTTGACTTTTCATACATGACCACTATCCTCTTGAATGTTGATCAGTTTGTTCATAGCTCTAAGCTCTTTTTTGTTGAACACAAGCGTGCCAGTATCTAGATTTATGTCCCCATCTTTGGCTATTTTTGCTCAGCCTTTTGTCTCCAAAGTTACTCTGTTCAAAATATGAATTACCTTATATTGGCATAAGCTTCACAGAGTTTCATTCAATCACGCCCTTCCAAAGATGAATCACGATTTTTCCAAAATGAGGGCTTCTTTATGTGATCCTCAAAATTGTTCCCAAAGTATTCTTATTCCAAAATTGAGTCTTTGCAGTTTAAAGTAGAAAGCATTCAGCTCTCTAGAGTAGGGCGTTAAAGGAGCTTTCTGGGAATTCTTGGGCTCTGTGACAACTGGGATGATCACTTCACGTGAAGCTTGCATATTCTGAAATCTAAAGAAAGAAGGGCTAGGGGGAATCATTTTTCCAATCTCAGTTGTAATGGTGAATGATACGATGCATCCTTGTCCAATAAATGGTGAAAACCCATCCATTTGCATAATTGCATTTCCCACACTCTTGACAAGAACCTGATCTATGTTCTCCTAAACATGACTATTAGTCTAGGACTCTAGGTCAATATCCTCAAGGGGCTGATCCCTCCTCCCATCGCACTAAAGCAATGTCTCTCCAAAATCCAGTATTGTCTTGGAATCAGGAAGATGATATCCTTGTTTCTCTTCTGCAGATAGAACACCATTAAAATCTCCACAAATAACCATGGTTTAATTATTCTTTTATGCCAATTCATGATATTGTTACACAAATCACGTCTCTTAGTTTAAATCACATTTAGCACACCCCAGAAACAGTAACTCACATCTTTCCAGTGATTCCACCAACCCTCTACCATTAATTTGTTCCACTTTTTTAAAAGAACCCAACTTTCCCCTTTTAAAAAAGAACCAAGTTTTCAAAAACCAACTCATGATATACTCACATCTTTCCACTTTTTTAAAAGAAGTCTGTCAATGCTTTATTCCACATCAGGAGTCATCTGTTCTGTCTCCTGTTCCTTCATATTAACCATGTTTTCAGATTCTGCATTCCTCTCCGCTCAAAAGTTGGTTTTTGATCCCCTTCTTCCACAACCTTTTTTAATACATCTCATTTTCCTTGGCTAATTAATGGACATACTTGTTGCTCTCTCAACTCATTTTTCACCGCTGAGATCAATATTTTCATTCTGACTGAAGTGTTTTCTTCTGGTCATGTACTTGTTGAGCTTTTCGAGGTTTTGTTTGTTCCTTCTCTTTGGTGACTTATTTCTCAGTTCCAGCAGCTTTTAAACATAATAGGATGGTACTTTTTTCATCAACAACTTTCTGCCTAATAAAGAACTTCTTATTCCTCAACCTGATTCCCCTTCAATCTGGGCAAAGTAATATCCACAACACAAATTAGAGCTAGATGTAACCTTTTTTGGAACATTCTATAAGCCTTCTTCCTTGTCAAGGTTTATCCATATATGTGGGAGAAGCCGTTTACCAATTATAATCTCAGCGTAGCTCCAGATAGAACTTTTGATGGTGGTTTACCGCCTTGCTCTTCATCTGGCACCTTGTTAGGCGGTTACACTAGCTAGAGAGACAGTTTCGGTTATGTATTTTTTTTACTTATTTTGTTTATAAGTAAAATAAGCCACTTTTACAGTTTTACCCTCCAAATGGGATCTTATTATTGAGTATTGAATGTAGGATATTTAGACACAATGTGTTGACATTGCTAAAGTTTTTGGAGATTTGGTTTGCAGATAATCTGCTCACTGGTGAGAAAAAACATAGCTGCAGACCGTTGTATGAGGCTTAAAAAAAGCATTCCTTCTTTGCTGCTAAACTCTGAAGCTATGGTAGAAGGCCATTCTTGTTTGGTCTCAAGCTGGTCTTGCATGAGCTACTGGCTTGATGGGAAGGGAAAAAGGCCCCTGGAAGGTAACAATCATGATGGGGAACATTCTCTCAGGAAATTTCCCAGACAACAAGTAACTCATGTTTATGATTTTAATAAAGTCGATGATGGGATGCTAATGGTCTTATCACAAGATGATGATCAGCAATCCGATGGGGCAAATGCTGACACTAGCAGTCTAATTCCTGGAATTGGTCAAGACAACTCCATTAGCTGTCTTGTTCGTTGCTCAAGGTCTGATTATGGCAACATGGCTGCTTTAAACAGAAGCTTTCGCTCATTAATTAGAAGTGGTGAGCTCTACAAACTAAGACGCATGAATGGTATAGTTGAGCATTGGGTTTATTTCTCATGCAACATGTTGGAATGGGAAGCTTTTGATCCCATTCGCCGCCATTGGATGCGTCTTCCAAAAATGAACTCTAACGAATGTTTTGTCTACTCAGACAAGGAATCTTTGGCTGTCGGAACGGAGCTACTTGTGTTTGGAAAGGAGATCCTGACCCAAGTCATCTATCGTTACAGCCTGTTCACCAATTCGTGGTCATCGGGTATGACAATGAATGAGCCGCGGTGTTTGTTTGGTTCTGCCTGCCGAGGGGAGATTGCTATCTTGGCAGGTGGTTGTGACTTGCAGGGTAAGATCCTTAGCTCAGCCGAGCTTTATAACTCTGAGACAGGATTGTGGAAGTCATTACCAAACATGAACAAGACACGGAAGATGTGTTCTGCGGTGTTCATGGATGGGAAGTTTTATGTGATAGGGGGTATCGGTGGAGCCGAAGCAAAACTGTTGACGTCCGGGGAGGAATATGATCTTGAGAGGGATGTTTGGACTGAGATACCAAATATGTCCCCACCTCGTGGTGGGGAAGCTAGGGGAAATGCCATACCATCTACATCTGAAGCACCACCTTTGATTGCAGTAGTAAATAACCAATTGTATGCTGCTGATTATGCTGACATGGTGGTAAGGAAGTATGACAAGGAAAACAGAGTTTGGTTTACGATTGGGAGATTGCCCGAACGTGCAGATTCCATGAATGGTTGGGGGCTGGCTTTTAGAGCATGTGGCGATAGCCTTATCGTAATTGGTGGACCTAGGGCTACAAGCCCAGGGTTCATTGAAGTGAACTCGTGGATCCCCAGCGAAGGACCGCCGCAATGGCATATGCTTGGTCGAAAGCAATCAGGTAGTTTTGTGTATAATTGTGCTGTGATGGGTTGCTAAGGACGTAGGACTCTTGCTAATGGGTATTCCACCCCCTCCAAACAACATTCATTTTGTTGCTTTTATTCATAGCATTATTGTTTTCGTTTCCCAAGTGGGATGAATATAGGGAGGATTATCAAAAGCCTGCTGAATATAGGGAGGATGAATATAGGGAGGATTATTGTTCTCAAGGACCCATTGAGCGTTGACTTTTTCAGCATCGACGTCTTCTTTAAGCTTAATGATACATTTGATGCATGAATCGGGAAAGGAGGCTTGCGTACAAACAGAAAAAGGATAGGAAAATAACATTGAGGGGGTGGGAGCAGTACAGAATACTGGTTCTTGATTAGTTTATCTTCAAACTTCTCACAGTGCATGAAGTTTGTTTTCTTGGAATTGTTGATGATGAAAAAATGGTCTTCAAGACTCTGTCAGGAACATGGCGATGTACTTGACAAACTTCTTTCTTTCTTTCTTTCCCTTTTTCTATTTTTTAATGAACGCCTTTATTGTCCATTCATTGGCTCCTGCTAAGTAGTTTTTATGAACTTTGTCATGTATTTATGGTCATTAAATTATGTCAATACATCCTAATTTTATGTCATTCATGTTGGTTTTGTGTAGCATTGCCTGCACTGGTATTTTTTCCAGTTGATATTTGATGGTTTTTGAGTCAGTGCTCTATTGACATTTGATGGTTTTTGAGTCGGTGCTCTATTGACATACTGGCATACAGGCATAGTCTGTTTACGTAAAAATATAACATCATTTACTCCGAAATCAATTTTACAAGGCAACTGTGGAGCAACTGTAACATCAGTGCAGTAAATAAAGTAATACTCCGTATTAACCTAAGTGCAGTATAGTTGATGACACTGAAATTTATATTGGTTCAAACTTCTACATCCACACCGTCCTTGGGATTTTCTTGGTTGGCAGTTGGCACCGTATTCAAGTTTTGACAAACACAATCTCATGTCAATAGGGAAGTTGGTTTTACTCATCCTTTACATTTCAGTTTTAATTTATAGGTTAGTAAAATACTTTGCAAGACCGTTTTACTCACCAGTTTTTTAAAGTTTACATGCCTCTAAGATAGACGGATGCAAAACTACAAACACAAAAGTGATGAAATGTATGCAAAAATATATATGAGTGATATGCGCTCAAACTTGATAAAGTAACAACTTCTATTTTTAAATAAGTTTTAATTCTTTGAAGTATTTTTTGTCTTCTTTTAAAAAGATAAGGTCACATTACATAGGAAAAGGAATTCCTAAAAAGTAAGTTAAAAAAAGATGTGTATGTAGAGGAGAGTATGATGTTCCCATCACACATGTTTTTTCTCTCATTATGAATACAAATTAGTTAAACGATATACAACTTAAAATATATTTTATGGAACATGTTGGAGACTCAAGATTATGATGTGTGTACATTCATAAGCAAACGAAGGATAAGATGGTTTTAGATTTTTTTTCTTTTCAAATTCCCATTTTTTTGCAATGGTTTAAAGAGGCTATACATACTATGCGTGTGCAACTGCATCCCTTGATTTCTGAAATGGAAGATAAGAACATAGGCTGCTCATTTTTTGTGTATGATTGTGTCTTATAAATTGATCATGAGTGAGATAGAATAGTGTGTAAATGACTGCCATTTATTTTGAACAAGAATTACAATTTTCTTTTTGGGAAAAATTGTCAAAGTAATGTTCATTCTATTTAAATCTTTTTTGTTGTTGCCAAAAATATAATTACCCACTCACCAAGAGATTAATATGAATAACATATTTCATTGATGGTCCGAATAAACAATGTGGAAGGAAAATTTCTGGGATACTTTTCGTGGTGGGTACAAGCATTTTCCAGGAATGGCTACAAGCCTACAACTAATTTTTCAGCATAACAATGAGAAGGGTGACTGAAGTCTGGTTTTGGGGAGCTAGGCGCTGCGCAGTGTGCAATGATCGAACAAAATAGCTCTCCCATGGGAGTTGAGTTGATTAGCATTCAGGAATCTACAAGTTGGGGGAAAGATCACAGTTGGGAACTTGGGATTACTTGAATGTGGTGTCGGATGCTCTTCGAGCTTCAAATTAAATGGAATCCAGAAAGGTGGTAGTGACATTTCAGATGGTAAGTTATTAGAGATATTGAAACTCACATTATTAGTGCGTCTTTCTCTCATATAATGTATTCAGCAAATCGAGTTGTTCATCTGATAGCTACAAAGGTTGATTTTATGTCTTATTACCATGTTTGGTTTATTTATCCCTTGCAAAAAAATCAACTAATCCCTTCATTAAACTGATTTTTGAGCTCTTATAGCAGAGTTTTGTTTTTGGAAAAAATCTATGAAAGGTGTTAATAATATGAGAAAATAGAGAAATAAAATTACTAGGTGTTGTAGCCCATAAAGGGATCTAAGTAATGGACATACCTTTCCAGGAGAAGATGTGGAATATTCCGGTGGGAGATGCATGTACACTTCTTCGTGAAGATCCCCATGAAGAACACATTATCTACATCCATTTGATGTAACTCCCAATGACAAGAGACATCAACCGTTGACATGGTACGCACCGTGATTATTTTAGCAACAGGAGCAAAAGTCTCACCATAATCAATCCCCTGAACCTGTTTGTTCCCACAAATAACCAGTCTGGCCTTATAACGTTCCACTTAATCTTGAAAACCCACTTGTGGTAAATGGCTCTCTTGCTGGGAGGCAAGTCTTATAGTTGCCACGTACATGTGCGCTCAAGAGCCCGAATTTTGTGACTCATAGCGCCCCGCCATTGTGGATCACGAATTGCTTCTCCAAAACTGTTGGGCTCCTTAGTCATGGAAATAGCTACAAGAAAAGTTCGATGCAGAACCGAAAAATGGTTATATTTTATATGATGAGATAGTGAATAAAGATTATCTGATTCTACCGCGGGAGTAAGGATACCGACAGGGGGAGAGTTTATTTTAACCGTGTTCATTTGCACATCATAATCCTAATGCCGCGCTGGAACTTTACGTGTACGCATACCTCGTCGTATTTGGGTGGTGTCATTTGTGTGTGGTGCAATATCATGCGTGATGGCCCCATCCTGATCGTGTGTGGTGTCAGTCAAATAAACATGACTTTCTCGCTCTGGTTGAGAAGTTGCATGGTCCTCCCTAGCACCTGACCGAAGTTTGTTGTGACACGTGCCCGGCCCCTCACATGCGTCCTTCATGTTATCATCATCATAGCCATGTACGTTTGACTCCCACACATGCATGCCAACCCCTGTGGTTTGATCGTTATCCGAAATGGGTTCCCCAAGTTTAAAGGGAAAATCATGTTCAACAAATTTAACATCACGTGAAACAAAGTGATGTCCTTTCTGTAGATCATATACCTTTCAGCCCTTTTGAGAATAAGCATATCCCAAAAATACACACCTCACACCACGAGGCACAAATTCATAGGAACTTTTATTATCTATCATAGGTGAAGGTAATCAATCGATTAAAAATCCTGTGGTCAGCACACATTCGCCCCAAAATTCTATGGACAAATTTGCATGAAATCGGAGAGTTCTGGCCATTTCCAATATATGCCTATGTTTCCATTCTACCCTTCCATTCTGTTGAGGGGTACACACACAAGACGTTTGAAAAATTCTTCCATGAGTAAAAAAAATATTCCTGGAGACTTACAAATTCCTTGCCATTGTCACTTCTTACAACTTTCACATTTTTTGTCAAATTGGCGGCTAGTCATGGTAATACATTGTTTAAGAATATTTTTCACTTCACTTTTGTCATGCATTAAATGTACCCACACAAATCTAGAAAAATCATCCACCATTGTCAAGAAATAACGAGCACCACACGTAGACAATATGTGATACAGACCCCAAATATCACAATGTATTAATTCAAACGGTTCAACAACACGAGCATTACTAACAACAAAACTATCACGTGTTTGTTTTCCTCTCATACATGCATCACACGTTTTATTCTGAACAGAATGTAATAAAGTTTTATTCAAATAACCAAGCAAATGTAAAACTTTCATTGACGGATGTCCCAACCGTGAATGCCACAAATTACCTGAGTCTGAACTTCCCACTGCGTGTCACTGTGCTTGATCCAGACTCTAGAAATGATAATAAATCCCTCCTCGTCGTTCACCCTCTCCAATCAGCATCCTCGTAGGCAAGTCCTGTATTACACATTAATCATTAGTAAAAAATAAATATCACATTTCCCATTATCAATTAATTGTCCCAAGGAAATCAAATTGCAGTTTAGTCCAGGTACTAGCAAAATAAATTAATTTTAGGCTACTTATTGCAATACTCCCCACTTGAGTTGCCTAGGTGATATCACCATTTGGCAAGGTTACTGTCACTGGTGCGATTTTGACCTTCTCCTTTTAGAATATAGTTATTTCCGGTCATGTGATACAAAGCACCGCAGTTTAAGAGTCATTCATTATGAATTTTTATACCTGTGAGTTTTTCTTCCGAAGGAGTAGCCTTACAGTTTTCCATCAGTTTTATGGAGTCTGAGAGTCATTGCTCATCAGTGAATCCAGGCTTATGCAAGGTTACCTCCTTTGCTTCTTGTCGTCGTTCCATCAGTCTGGTACGTACTCGCCTAAATGCATGGCATGTACGGCGCATGTCCTGTCCCTCGCCCAGATCCTCCATGTCCAGAGCCACCGCGACTAGGTCCTCCTCGTCCTCGTCCTCCGTGACCGCGACCAGGATTATCGTACCCCCACATTGGATAATTCCTAATCCGACGGAAGCAATTTTCAACTTCATGTCCAGTTTTGTGACAATAGGTGCGAGTAGCAAACACTACTGCCTCGGGTTTCTCTTCTCGTCCTTGTGTCAAGTTTTTGTGCTGCTCTTCTTGTATCACCATGTGATATACTATGGTAAGTGATGACAGTTCATCCGCATTGAGCACGTTGGAACACAAGGTTCCATATACAAGTCTCATGATCGAGACCCATCAAGAAATCATGAGTTTTTTCCGTCTCAACAGGTTTGAGGAACAATTTTTTGAGGTCACGCGTACATCCGTTGCAGGTGCATTGAGGAATATTTCGGAGTCCATCATATTCATCCCCTCGTGTTGACGTCAATTCCGAATCAATTCCTTCAACTCGTGGGTCCTCATCGCATCTCCAACAGAAAACCGCACCTCTAAGTCGTCCCAAAGGTCACACACGTTGTTCATATAGGCCAGATTCATCCATAGAGCCGGATCCACTGATGTCATGATCCATCCTACTGCCAGGGAATTGGCAGTCGGCCAATCTTCGAGATCCCTCTCATTGGTCACGAGTCGTTCAATGGTTCCATCAAGGAACCCCAATTTCCGCTTTGCACGGAACGCATTTTTCATTGTCGTAGCCCATTTTTCATCGATTTCCTTCTGCATCGATATTCACTGTTTCGCCGGCCATCTCGTCGCAGCGGTTGCGTGATGGGTTGGTCCCAAATCACCGCTCTGATATCATGTAAAATTGGAAGCAATTTGAAAAAATTTTGTATTATTTTCTGCATGATCTCAAAACTAGACGCATGCGATATATATAGTTGAACGCATGGGCGTACTCTAACAACGTACGTGCTGCCAATGGAGAATTAAGGAGGAAAAGAAGGAAACAAAATAAATGGTTACAACATCCAATTCTAATCCAATTCAAAAGCTACGTATGTACACACAAAATTAAATTTTACATAATAATTTTATATTTTTATCTATATATTTTATTTTTTATTTGAACGTTTTTCACTTATTTATCTATTCTTGCATTTTAAGTATTTTATATTATGATTTCTCTATTTTCTAATTAATATGGAGTATGAATTTTTTAAAATTTATCAATTGTTTTAATTTAATTTTTCAAAATAACCTGCTAGAGTGCATGCTAGTTAAATTTAGATGGTAATTAGATGGTACATTAGATGGTACACCCGACTGTACCATGCTCATGGTACAGCCCGTCATTTTTGTAATTAGTTTCACTTTACAGGGTATTAGTTAGGTTTGTTGTTCCTGATGCTTTTCTTTTTCCGCCGCATGACCTGCTCTTCGATTATGAGTTACGTCTCTTCCTGCTCTTTAGTTTGACTTTTACTTATTTTGTCTTTTTTGTTTTCTTTGTATACCGGAGTAGTTCCGTTTACTTTTTCTATTTTGTCTTTTTCTTTTCTTTTTTGGCGTGGTTGCTTTTACTAGTTGTCTTCTTCTTCTTTTTCTTGATATTTTCTTTAACATATTTTTACTTTATTTTTATTCAATTATAATGAAAATATATTATATAAAATGTTATTTAATGTTTGAGTTTGTTTTTTCTCTTTCCAATCAACCTTCTAATTTCAGTTTTTTAAATTTGTATGTGCATTATAAAATATTTTAGGTATTAATGTTTTGTTTTTCTATTTTAAATTTTAAGATGAATATTTATTACGGGGTAGTTTAGTAAATATTGTGTGTTATAGCTAACATGAGTTTTGTTTTATACTAAAATGAGTATAGTGTAAAATAAATGTGCATTAGTAAATATTATAAAAACAACAATATTGTATTTGTAAATCAAGAACAAAAGACTATAAACCATTTTTAATAAAACGTTTTTATATTTCTCATTGTTATATATAATGAAAGTTTATTATATTCTTTTTTTTATCGTCGAACCAGAAGCTAAATTAATCCAACATGTCGTTAGCCAAATGGCTATGAATACAAGAGGGTATAGATGTGTAAACAACTCTATGACCTGGTAAATCTACATGAGCTCGAGCTAACGTATGAGCCACATGATTTGCAGATCGTTTACAATGAGAAATACTAAAATTTCTTTTAACTTCAAACAACTCTCTAATATCATCCAAGATCAGGTGAAGATAGGAGCAACCCGATTTGCGTTTCACCCCATCCACCACAGCAAGAGCAACTGTTTCAACTTCTACATTTTGCCAACCTTCTTCAACCATTTGCCGCACCGCATCACGAAGACCCCGCGCCTCGGTCTCTTCAGCCGTCCAATCTGCCTCATGCGAAGTTCCTCCGACTTTTATAAATTCTCCGTTTGAGTCACGGGCTATCCATCCCCAAGCTCTAATCCGTCCTCCTTGGTTAACCGCTCCGTCAACATTGATCTTCACATAACCATCCTTCGGCCGACTCCATTTGACCTCAACTGGCGGCTTCGGTGCCCTGACTGCCTGTGAAGACTCACTGCCGTAGCTATTTGTCCAGGCTGTTAGCATCGCTGCGGCCATGTTCAGCACCTCACTTGCCTCCATTCTTTTATCTTTCCAAACTCCGGTGTTTCGCCGCTTCCAAATACTCCATAAAATGGAGAGAAATCTGCACCTGCTTGCCATATCTTGAACTTAGACCATCTTTTTTAACCACGCTTCAGCAGAGATCGATCCTACCTCCGTGGTTACACCAGCTCGCGTCCAGACTTCAAGAGCAACTGGACAATCTCTCACAACATGAGCAATAGATTCCTCTGTATGTCCACAGACCACACAGCCACCTTGAATAAGCACACTTTTCTTCCGAAGATTATCCACTGTCGGTATTGTGCCATCTATCACCTGCCAAACAAAATATTTAAATTTAGGGGGTACCTGTGTTTCCCAAACTTGTTTCCAGCCCTCCCATGCACCATGTCGAAAGTCCCCCATGCATGCTCGGTAACAACTCTTCACTGAAAAATCTCCATTCTTTTCTCCAACCCACCAAAAATCATCTTCTCTGTTATGCCAGCTTATGGGAATACTCAGAATCTTCTTTTTATCCTCCTCATTAAACAGCTTATCAATCCTATTTTTATTCCATTCAATTCCTTGCCCATATGATCCCTTATAGCTGCCACGTTCATGTCTTTCACCCAGTTTGGTTTCGCAGAAGTAATCCGACCCTCCCCCTCTCCCGGTAGCCACGCATCCGCCCAGACCTGAACATCAATCCCATTACCCACCCTTCGTCTAACATTCTTCTTCAGGATATCCTTGGATTCAAAAATACTTCTCCATATGAATGAGGGATTGCTCCCTACCCTTGCATCCAAAAACGACGAGTGAGGACAATACTTCGCTTTCAGAACCCGACTCATAAGGCTCTTTTTTCAGTCATAAGTCTCCACCCCTGTTTGGCTAACATGGCTAGGTTAAAATCTCTAACTCGCCTAAATCCCAGCCCCCCAAACTCTTTTGGTTTACACATATGTTCCCACTTCCTCCGTCTAAGTCCCCTTTGTTCAAAACCTGCTCCCTTCCACCAAAATCCATTC